GGGGGCACCTTGGGGGTCTGCCCACCACATCCCTCTTGTCCTTTCCCTGTTCTTTCTTTCTCTTTTTCTTCATTTCACCATCATCCTCATCTAGACTCAGACCTAGGGCTTTGCCAGTAAGTAAGAGCTTTACAGCAATGACATTAACAAGTAATATGGCTTTGTGCCAGGCACCAAGCTAGTTTTCTTTTTAACTTTCTCTTAAAGTATAATAGACACACAGAAATCTGAAACATCCAAAGTGGAGAGTTTGATGAATTTGTTTGAGACCGAACATACCCGTGTAACCATCCCACAGATCAAACAGCAGGATATTACCAGCACCCCAAGGCCCTCTGCAAGCTCCCTTCCAGTCCCTACACCCTCAAAGGTAAACCTGTAACAGCATAGGTTATCTCTTCCTGTTTCTGTACATTTTATAAATGGCGTCCTACAGCCTGTGTTATTTTATGTCTGGCTTTCTTGACTCAACATAGTGCTGTGGCATGCGGTTCCAGGTTGTTCGTTCTCATGGCTGAACAGGATTCCCTTGTGTGAATATACCACAATTTGCTTATCCGTTCCACTGTTGATGGGCACTGAGTTGTCGCCAGTTTGGAGGTGTTACAAATGGTGCTGCTGTGAGCAGTGTATTATGTACCTTTTGGTGAACACCTGTAAGCATTTCTGTTGGAAATCTCCATGAGAGTGGCATTGCTGGGTCGTAGGGTGTGCATATTTCCATGGGCTATGTTTCTATATAGAATCCTCACATCCCCTCTGTGAGGAAGTCATCATCATCCCCTTTATGCATGACAACATTTGAGCCAGACCCACACTTCTTCCAGAGCTCCTGAAAGATTAGACCGGAGGAAAGGCACAGTGGAGAAAGTATAGGTCTGGCTCTAATGCTTTTTCACTATCGGCAACCCTCTTTATTACTTTTGTTTAAGAGACCCATCGTTTTGGAAGAGTTCTGCACATCAAGCTACCAAGCAAATGTCGTTTGTTCACTATCATTTAATTCATCTTCCAGTTCTCTTATTAGTCAGAGACATATCTAACCGGCTGCAGTGTGGCTGATCCAACAACATGTATAACAGAACTGATATAATTTCAGAAAAAGACAAAGGAAGTCCTGGTTTGGGTTCACCTCTGTAGCCTCCTTACAAGAACACAGGGTTTCTAAAGGGCTGTGGAAACACTGACAGTCTGCTGTCCTTCCCCTTGTGATGTGAGGGAACTCCAGGCGATGGAGATCCCCACCCCTCCACTAAGGAAATCTAAGACCCAGACCCTGTCTGAAATCCTCTGATTTATGATCAATAAATATATATTAGTGCATAAGTAATTCATTCAGACTAGACCTAGATCATCGTTTCAAACAAACTTTCAAAGCCCCAACCATTTATTATGGGCTTATTCTTAAACTAAGATAGGTTATGAGAAGATAGTAAGGAACACTTTCCAAAGTGCCACCAAGTGGCCAGAAAGACTCAGGCTATTGCTTACATGTGGGAGTACTGGGTTCTTTCCCCTTTGTTTCTGTTCTTCTCCATCTGTTTCTCTTTCTCTGTCTCTCTCAGTGTGTCTCTCTCTATATGTGTATGTATGACATATATACCATACAAATCTCTCTCATATACATATATCTCCTGTATATACGCATATGTAATATCTACATATATATTAGAGAGACAGAAAGACGTCTATCTTTATATCTCTATATCAACAAAATTGGGATCCCACGGTATCTTACTTTTTTATTAGCATTTTTTTCTATGCGATTAAAAAAGTAATTTCAAAAACATGATTTAAAAAATATTGCTGTTTCGGGCTTCCCTGGTGGCACAGTGGTTGAGAGTCTGCCTGCCGATGCAGGGGACACGGGTTCGTGCCCCGGTCCAGGAAGATCCCACATGCCGCGGAGTGGCTGGGCCCGTGAGCCATGGCCGCTGAGCCTGCGTGTCTGGAGCCTGTGCTCCACAACAGGAGAGGCCACAGCAGTGAGAGGCCAGCGTACCACAAAAAAATAAAAAAATATTGCTGTTTGATATTCCATCACATGCAGTTACCATGATTAATTTAACTAATTCTCTATTTGGGGATGTTTAAGCTGTTTCTAATATTTTGCCATTGCTAATAACACTACATGAATATGTCTGTACCTAAATCCTTGGGGACATCCCTGATATTTTCCTTAGGCTAAATGACAAGATGCTGAATAACCTACCAAATGGGTTGGCTTTTGGATGTTGACTTTTGAGTCTCATTATTAAATTTAAATTTATGCTGCTGCCAACAGTATATAGAGTGTCTTTTCTGCCCACCCTGGTAATTTTCTATTATAAATAATTTTTCTCAATTTTATAGGTAAAACACGATTGTTTGACTTTAATTGACTCCTAGTGAGGTTAAATATTTTTTTAGACTTGCTGTCCATTTGCGTTTCTCTTTATTTTGCGTTTTGTGTTCCTTTTTATGCCATGTGTTTTCCCACTCCTCCACAGAATGCCACCCTGTGCTCGGGCAAGCCTCTTTCCCTGCTGCATCCCTGCCTTTACCACAGGAGTGATATTAGTGTCCCATAGAACTCGGCATGGTCAAATGCTTTGCAAACAGAACATATGTCAGAAAAATGCACGTTCACAAGGCCCGCAGGTGGCTTGGCCAGCCACATCTGTCATTCCTCCCATTAGGATCCCCGAATCCCTCCCAGAGCTGTAAACCTCACATCTCACCCAGACTCTGGACCTTCACCCAGGGGCCGTCAGAGCAGGAGGGGCTGGCCACGGTGCCTAATGACTTAACCAGGTGAGGTTCACGTGTGCATGACTGTGCCTCAGAGGGAGTGTTCCCTACTGCTCTGGGGAAACAGGCAACTGTAAATCAGGTAACAATATGGCACTGACTTATTTATCCTTGTAAGAGTTTTACATTCTGAAGTCAGCAGGGGACCCATCGCCTGATCCAGGGCCAATTTTCAGTCATCACTCTGGGAAAGCTCAATCCCCCTGCTCAGCTGGATGGCATGCAGGGGGCGTGCACGAGGCAAGGCACCCCACCGGGCCAGACCCGATCGTATCTCAGTTGGAACCAAATGTTACCTTCCAGAGATGCGAGACAGAGACAGGAAGTCACCAAACAGCGGGAATGTCTCCCCCTCACTGCTAACACTGCTCTTTCACACCCCCCAGCCTCCTGGAGCCAAGTTCCTCCTCCTTCAGAGGGAATGTTTGCCAGGATGACAGCTGCACCCTGGTAGGTGTGAGAGTGAGTCATTCGAGTTGGAGTGGACATGACAAAAGAGAGGCTGGTGCTATTTAGCAATCAAAGCCAAGACTGCACTCAATGTCCCCAAATATCGGGCTGGCCAAAAAGTTCGGGTTTTTCCGTAAGAGCATACCAAAATCCTGAACGAACTTTTTGGCCAGCCCAGTAAGTCATGGTATAACCCTTACAAGAGAATATTAGGCAGCCATTAAAAAGAACGTTGTCAAAGAATTTTTATGAGACTGAAAAATGCTCATGACATGAAGTAAAATGAAGGAAAGAGAGGTGAAAACCCACCTGTAGAATATGATTCCAATTATGTAAGACTAGCTGGAAATATTGTAAAATGGTGACTGAGGATCTCTGCAGGTAAGATTAGGTTTGAGTTTTATGTTCTTGATTATTTTATTTAAAAATTTTCCTACACTAAGCATTTGTAACTTTTATTTACAAAAAGAAAATAATATTTTGAAAGACCGAGCCTGACGTGATCTGCCCCAGGCCCCTGGGATTTCACAAGCGCTATTTGTTAATCAGCTCTGCTCTCCTTAAGCTAGTGTTAGGGACGGATGTGCTTGCCCTCACCCCATGGCTTTCCTTCCTCCCTCCCTCCCTCCCACCCTTCCTTCCTTCTTTCTTTCTTCCTTACATTTGCCCCCTCTTGGGCCCTGGCAAATCTTTTGAGAAAAGCAAATCTTAGAAACCAGACCAAAACCAAATTTTCAACAAGCTCAAAAATTTAGTTGTACCAATGTTGCATGAAGCAGAGGTAGGGGACAAGATTGACAGTCCTTATTGTGGGAAGACCTTGGTGGACCCAAAGATTGCTCTGCTCTGCCCTGGTCACACTGCTTCTAGTGGGCTGGTTAAAAAAAAGGATGTCAAAAAGACTGCTTTCTGCAGAATCCAGAAGTGACAATAATATCTCCACCATCAATACCAGCAGCAAGACCACCACTGTGTACCAAATGCTTATCTTGTGCCAGACGGTGGACTAAACCATGATCTATTGTCTTATTTGATCTTTAGAACAACTCCTTTACAGATGACAGATCTGGGTTTATCGAGGTTAAGTAATAAGGCAGGTATTTGTTAATCTATAAATTTGCCCAGGAAAGGGAGGGAGGTGATGCCCCAGGGAACATTGCACCTCCTCTGCTGATGGGGGCTCGGGACCACGGCCTTGGCTGCTGGGATGGAAGAAGCTGGATTACCATGGGACATTTGTGTGACACTTTCTGATCAAGAGTGACAACCCAACTCACTTCAGAACAACACAGGTTTATGTGGAAAGATTTTGGTGATGTGACGGGTATGGCTCGCTCATGGGAAGTAAGCGGTTGAATCTCCAGAACTGGGAATGTGGGTCCCCAGACGGCCCTCAGCTACACCCCCCTTGCACTCACCCTGACTGCTGTTTGTCTGACTCTGGCAGCTTTGACGGCCTGAGAGGCCATGCACTGCTCAGGCCAAGGCCCCTGTGGGTGACTTTGTGGGGCACTGGGGAATTGGGTCCTTTCTTATACAGTTTGCCGGAAATGTGACAGCAGTAGACTGGGCCTCCCCAGGGTAGTCCTTCAATCAGCTGGTAGAGGGCGCCCGACAGTGTGGAGAGGATGCTTGTTGATCAGACGGACTGTTTGGAGCTGATGCTGTGAGATTACTGGGTACCCCAGACAAGTTTACCCCATCCGGTTATTACATATTACCTATTGTACTAATACACAGAAAGATGCAAACTATCGATATAAAACAAAACCAGTTCATTCAAGAAGCCATAGATGCGAGGTTAACTGGGACCCAATGTAACTTGTACTGTTTTTTCTAGAATAGTGGCTTGAGCCTTGAGGACTTGCCTGCCTCAAGCAATATCCTGGGAAGCTGACCCAATGGAGACTTAACATCTCAAGGGTGAATTCATCTTCCTGGGTCAGAGTTGGTTTGGGGGTCACATGCTCCTGAGGTCCCTAAAGACCACGTGAGCTGCATTGCGTCCAGCGGCTCCCATGACACCTCCTCCTGGAAGGGAGTCTCCCATGAACCAAAGCCGTGCTCACCCCCCTCCCACCCCTCTGTCCCCCCATGGGACTTGCTGAGGCACCAGCCACAAAGCAGAGCAGGGACGCCTCAAGGGTGATGCTGGGGCTGTGGGTATCAGAACCACCTGGGATGATTCTTAAGACAGATCCTGGACTCCCCTGCATCAGTGCAGGAAGGGCCAGGTGCCTGGTGCAAGCAAGTGGCCCCCTCCCTCTGCCCCCCCAGCCTGAGAGCCAATGGGCCAGATGGCGAGACTCCCAGCACGTGAAACTAGAATGAGGGATTAAGGATTTGAGAGGAAGTCATGGAAGTATGGACCCCGTCTGGGGGGCCGGGGCCCACATAGCTCAGAGGAAGCATCTGTATGAGATGAGCTTCCGTGGGGTCAGTAAGCCTGGGAGGGGAGCAGGGAAGAATTTTAAAATTGAGAAACTGAACTTTGCCAATTCTTACTGGTCTCAAATACGCATGGGAATTTAGAGGCATGGGTCTTACACAACCCACCATGGGAACTTGGAGAGATGCCTCCACTGGGACGTATCCCCAGGTCTCGTGGGGAGGAGGTGAGCTAACCTGAGGGTTGTGGCCGGAGAATTCTCAACATGGGTGATGGCTTGATCTCCCGGGAGTTCCCCCCCTCTCGCTTCCCCCCTTGTTTACCCTGCTCCCGTCTGCAAGCCTCTGCCAGCCCTCGATGCCCGCACAGGGTAGTGGGACTGAGGGTCACTCACCAGGATGGGCCCCACTTCCGCAGAGATACAGGCCCCGGAGAGGGCAGCGGTAGCTGGAGTGCAGGGGCACAGGGCGGGCAAAGTACAGCTGGTCCAGGGCCATGGCGCAGTGGAATATATTCTGCAGGAGGCAGGGCCACAGTCGTTAACATAGGAGGGTTACATTCTCCACTCCGCTCCCTTCCCCTGTTCTCCAAGGAAGGTTCGTCTCCTTCCAGGATGTTTTCTCGGGCTCTTGTGATGCAGAATGAGGAGGGGAAGAGAGAGAATAGGCACAAGTCCTAGGGCTGGGGGTGAAGTTTCCTAGAGGCATTTTTCAAGAAGGAAAAAGGGTAGGGAGCATCTTCAGAGGGTAAGGAAACTGAATGGGAAAGAAAAGGGAGATTTTAAGGATGTTGCTGTGGACTCTGAATCCCCCTCACTCTGTTTGAAAAATAGAGGAAGTTGATTTATTTTGACTCTGGTACATGTTTCTTTGGCCAAGACACCCAGCTGAGCTTGTGCCCTGGGGTTCCAAGGTCACAGTAAATGGCAGATGGATACTGAGAGCGCGTTTCTGCTCCACTGGCCTGGGTCAGACCAGCCGAGGAGGGAGGAGGTGTGGGGGAGGGGGAAGGGCACACCTGCGGGGCAGGTCTGGACAAAAAGACCAACATCTGCTGGACGTCCCCGTGGGGATGACCTTCACCTGCCCCATCAATGTGTCCCAAACTGAGCTTGTCTTCTTCCCTCGAGTCGAGTCAGCTCCTGTCCCGTCTTCCCTGCCTCTGTGGATGGCATCACCTCCCCCTCCTTGGCCTTCAGGTGGACCCTTTACATCCCCTCCACCCGCCCTCTGCACGCACAAGTATCAAGACTTCTCAATCCACCTGCCCAAGCCTTCCGCCTCCACCCTTTCCCTTCCCTTCCCACTGCCTGGCCTCTCTCACTATCAGGCCCAGCGCTGTCCAGTAAAAATATAACGGGAGTCGCACATGTAATTTTAGATTTTCCAGTAGCCACATTAACACTTAAAAGGAAACTGGTGAAATTAATGTTAATAATATATTTAATTTAACCCAATTAAATGATGTATTTAATTTAAGCCAATAGATCCAAAGTATTATCATTTCAACATGTGGTTGGTATTAAAATTATTGATGAGACATGCTACATTTTTCTGTACTTGGTCTTTGCAATCTAGGGTGCACTTTATACTCGAAGCACATCTCATTTTGGCCTGGCCACATGTAAGGGCTCAACAGCCACACGAAGCTAGTCACTGCTGTATTTGACCTGCCTCCTGACCCATCCCCCTGCCTCCAGGCTCAGTGAGTTTTTGATAAGAGAAGTGTGAGCACATGCTGCCTGGGGGAGGGCAGGTCCCTCTGAAGAAAGGCAGATGGGAGGGGCTGACATGGACATCCAGGCAGAAGGGCCGCAGTCCTGGTGACCTGCTCAGCAGATGCTGCCTCTCCTCACTCCTCCTTCACTGCCTAAATCTGACGGTGTCTCTGTCCCCTCTCTGCTGTGGTCTCTGCCTCTGTCCTCTCTTCCTGCTGAAGGCTGGGTGTGGAGGGACAAGATAAAGCCGCGTGGGCCTGCCAGGGAGTCGGGGTACAGGGAGAGTGTGACGAGAGACCCCAGTCCTGTACTCACCCCCCCAGGAAGCCCAAAGACTCTCTCCAAGTCAGGGGGTGTGAGGATGTCTCTGCCCACCACGGAGCCCTTGAAGCCGGGGGCATAGGCCTCAATGCAATCACACACTAGGTGTCGAACACAAGGAAAAGAGATGGTGTTAGGAGAAAGAGGCATTACGATTGTACAGCTCGGCATATTTACTAAATTCATTAAACTCTACACCTAAAATGGATATTTTTTCATAAGCAAATTATACCTCAATAAGGAATAAAACAAAAACAGTCCACAGGCAAATAAACAATTCATTACAGAGACCTATGTGTGTCAGGCTAGTAGAGCCTCCCACTCTTTCCCACCTTTTTACTCCAACCCTAAACACTTGTCTCCCCTTGGACATGCAAAAATTTCTTCACCTCATTGCTCTGCTCAAGTTATTTCTTTTGCTTGGAATGCACTTTGCTGCCTGGTCGACTCCTATTCATCCTTTAAAACCCAGCTCAAATGTCCCTTCCTTTGGAAAGCTCTCCTGTCTCTTTGGCTCACAGCTTCCTCCTTTGGTTCCCCCAGTCCGTAGTACTGTAAGACTGGTTTGTTAGTCTCCCCCGCAGGACCGTGAGCAACCTGAGGGCAGGAACGATGTCTTTTTGGCTTTCTTCGCTCAGGGCCTGACCCCAGCAGTTACTCACTGTGTTGATGTAGGTTTCCCTGGGTACTCCTCTCTCCCTGGCACAGAACTTGCAGGTGTTAATCCTGAATGGGGCAGTCAGGAGGAGAGGAGGCCATATGGGATGCTCTGCCAGCTGTCACTGTGAAGCCAGGGCGGTTTAGCCCTCCTTACCTCTGTCTGCGTGAGCGTTTCTCTCCTGCTCGTCCCAGACCTTGCCTGCAGCCAGTGTGTAGGGCGTGTACTGAGTGAAGAGGGAGATGACATGGCAGCCAGGGGGAGCCAGCGTGGGGTCCAGCGAGGAAGGGATGCAGAGCTCAATCATAGGTCTGCGTGCGACACGGGGAGGAGAGAGGGAAGGGGCTGGGGAGCCACTCTGAGATGACGGGACAAAATGAAGGCCTGAGATGGGAGGATGCTGGGGCCAGGCCGATGATCTCTGCAAGGTCATGGTGGTGTTTGCCTGCACGGGCTCGGTGACCACCAGGACAGTCCAGACCACCAACGGGGAGCTCCCTCATCTCCAGGCCCCTGTCCCCGGCCAGACCGGCAGGCTCGGGGCTCCCTGGTCCCTCCCAGGCCAGGGTGGTGAATGAGCACGGTCCCTGTCGTCCCACCACACCTCCTGTCTCTAACCAGGGGCTCAAGTGTCTCCAGGGTCCCCACCTGTGGGAAGGCAGGCCATCCATGGCGTCTTCAAAAGCCTGATGGAGAAGGAGGGTGTCCTCACAGTTCAGGTGGATTGAGCATTGGTGATGGGGCAGCGGTTGGCCCCTGGGAGCATTGGGGGCCGCCAGGAAGTCAGGCAGCCTGTCGACAGCCGCTGAGGGACCAAAGAGGAGGGTCAGGGCCCAAAGGCCTGTGTCCTCAGCCCCCCAGGGTCCTCTATCTCTACCCATCACCTGCTCACCCACATGGTGGACTGGAAAGAAAAAGTATGAAAAAGTGTTTCACCTTCAAACTCGGGGGCAGGCTGTGGGGCAGGGGATAGAGATGATGATGAAGGTCAGTCTTTCCCAGACATGGAGATTTCTCACTCAGATAACCTCAGAAGAAACAGCTCTACAATCTGGTGTGCCTCTTACCATTGATCTTGGTAACAGGCGACTGGGTGTCCAGCTGGGAGATTCTCTCCACGAACTCCTCAGGAAGCCACTCCTGAAAGCAGAAGGTTCTACCCTGGGGGTGGCCAAGGCCCCAAGGGGGCTGCTTTACTCCTTTGCTCAGACTGGTCCCTCAACCTGTACTGCTGGAGACCCTCTCCCTCCCTCAGAGCTCGGCCAAACCACTTCCTCTGTGAAGCCCTCCTGGACCCCTCCAGCTCTGCGCTAACCACTTCTTCCTTTGCAGTCTGCCAGCGTCCTGGCTGTAAATGGCCCACACCAGCTCCTGCTACGGATATGGCCCGTGGGCTGCAGCGTCTTTCACCTCTGGTCTGTAAGCTCTTGGAAGTCTTGATGATCTCAAAATTGTCTCAAGATGCTTTTGAACTGATGTTTGCTGAATTTGATTAGTGGAATCACTCAGAAAAAGTGGTGCCTTGTCCCCAAGAATAATCCCCCAATCGCTGGGAGCTCCATGCTCATACACATATTATCATATCTTTGGGGGACAGGGAAGGTGTGATCAATTGCAAAAACTGCCCCAAGTCCCCAACCCTCCTTGTATGCACACCCCTTTTTATTGCCCTCCCACTGTGACTGAGCTTGGCCATGAGACAAAGCTAATGTTAGCAAATAGGATGCAAACAGAAGCACTTGCGTGACTGAGTTTGCTCAATTTTGCCTTTTGCCAGATCTGGACTACGTGCCTGGGGATGAGAGACACATGGAGCAGAGCTGAGTCATCCTGGACACTCTGACAGAGACCTCTCGATTAGCCACAGCCATCAGCAGGGCCCACTAGTGACCCGCAGCTGCTGGAGGAGTGCATGAGTGAGCCCAGATCACTTGAACTCAGCCAAGATCAACTGATTTCTACCGCTCTGTGTGCTAAATCCATATTTCTTGATATGCCCAGAAGCTGTGTGGTTGTTACGCAGCATTCATGTGGCAACAGATCATTGACACAAACAGTGGAATTAGAGCTGGTTAGAGGGGAGAAATCAGGACAGCAGGAAAGCTGTAGAAGTAACCCTGGGTTGAAAGTCAGACCTGAGTTCTAGCTCTGGCTCTGCCAATTGCTAACTGCCTGGCCTCGGTCACCTCATGTCCCCGGACCTTTCCCCTCACCTGTGAGGCTTCTTTGCTGTTTGCTCCCTGCCCGTTAGGTAAGGAGAGAAGACAGATTTCCCCGGAGAGACTTGGCACTCACATCTCCCACCCTGATGCAGCCCTGGTCCCCTTGATCCCTCCACATTCCAACCCCAGGCAGACATCTCACCTCCACCCCCAGCCTCACCTGTGGCGTCAGCTTCAGGAAGGTGATCTGCGGTGACGCGCTGGACAGCACCACTTTGCTCCTTACCTCCAAGCCGTCTTGCAGCACGACTCCTTGAACGCGCCCTCCACTGCTCACCTGCACCTTAGCCACTGTCTAAAGCCACGGGAAAGAGCCCCCAGGGTCCCCGGGCAGGGAAATGCAGGTGAGTCTTGGGGGATTTCCGCTGTCCATGCTGCCCCTAGGCACTCGCAGCCTCATCAGCCCTGGCCCCGATTCTCTGCAGCTCCTGGTGAGGCGTTAGCCCACCCCTCCAATGCAAAGGCTCAGCCCAAATGTGGGCTAGTGGCTGTGAATTCAAATGGGGTAGGCAGAAGAACTGGGACCTGGTTCACAGCAGTACAGGCTGCAGAGCCCGAGCTCCTCGATCCTGAGCCAGGCCTTGTCCATCAGTAAAATGAGGGACTCTCCAAATCCGATACTTTGTTCTATTCTAAGATCCTTGCCAAAAATTGGGGTGGGGTAGAGGGGCTGTTCACCTTTTCAGTGAAGATACTTGCTCCGTGTGCGGTGGCTGAGCTTGCGATGGCGTCGGAGAGGGCACCCATGCCACCCTGGACGTAGCCCCAGGCCCCCCGCATCCCCTCCAGACCCCCCATCATGTGATGGAGTAACACATACCTGAGGACAGATCATCAGAATCAGTGGCTGGAGGTGGGGTTTAATCTCAGAGTTCTAGATGCAGAGAGTCCTTCCCGTCCTGTATCTTCAGCCCCTCCCTGCCCCCATCCAGCCCTGTCCGACTATCCTTTAAATGAGCTCAAGACTCTTGCAAGAGCCCTTCGCTTCCCATTCTGCATCCTCTCCCCCTGTAGACATCTGCGGGCAGACCTTTGGTTCCAACAATGTGGCAGCGATGCCCAAACCTGCCTCTCCAGCTCTCTCCTGAGTGCCAGCCTGTATGCCCAGCTACCCACAGATATCTCCACTGGCATGGCTTTGGGCAGGCATCTTAAACCCATCCCCTTGTCCCCACTCCCCAGCCTGCTTCTCCATCCCAGTGAATGGCACCTTCAATTTCCAACAGAAAACTGGGTGTCAGTCTTGCCTCCTACTAGGCCCTCACCACCTACATCGTCGAGTGCCTCCCAAAGAACTTTCCAAGGCCCCACTCCCTGCTGCTTCCTCCCTGGTCCAGGCCATTCTCTTCTCTTTCTTAAGTTGCTGCAGTAACGTCCTCCTAATCGGACCCACTTCTCCCACTCGTTCTTCCCTGTAGACCTTTCTCCACGTAGAACCTGGAGCCCAGTCTCAAAACTCAGCTCTGCTCCTGTCACTCAGCTCTTTTCAAGCCTTCACTGGCTTGTCGGTGCTCTGAGGACGATGGCCAGTCTCCAAAACTGGCCTTCAGGGCTCCTGCCTGCTCGTCAGCCTCGTCCCTCCCTACACTTCCCCCCCCCCCCACTCCTGTTAAGCCAACTCTCAGTGCCTTGAATAGATCATATGAGCCACGTGCAGCTCCTACATTTGCACGTGCTGTTCCAGAGTCTAGAAGCCCCTTCCTCCCTCTTCTTTTATTTGGCTAATTCCTCCTGTCCTTAGAGTCTCAGATGAAACATCTCTGTCTCGTGGGGGGCTTCTCTGAGCCTGGACCACGTTGCCCCACCATCACAGTGCCCACAGCTCTCCATTCCACTCCTTGCTCTGTGTCTACCTCCCCCATTAGGATTTCAACCCCATTCACTACCGTGTCCCCAGACCTAGTCCCCAGGCAAGTGCTCCATCGATATTTATTGAAAGAATTAATGAAAAAACAAATGACTTAAAGGCCCATTTCACAAACTGGGCAGTAGCTAAGCCTCCTGAACACCCACAGAGAAAAGGACCAGAGGCCCCAGCTGGCAAATCCAAATTGGCTGGTTGATCTTGGCCAAGATGTTGCAACTGCTGCCAGCTCCCACTTCTCCTGGGGATTCAGGGCTGGCTCAGTGTGTGCCGGAAAAGCACTACCAAGTGCTCTTATCCCTTGAGACACAGCTTCCAGCTGCATCTTCTGGTGTGCTGGAAATGGCCCAAGACTTGGCAGCATCCTCTATCCCAACACACACACACACACAACACACAACGCACACACACAACACACACACACACAACACACACACACAACACACACACACACAAAACACACAACACACACAAACAACACACACACACAAACAACACACGCACACACAACACGCACACACAACACACACACACCGCACACAATCAACACACACACACACAACACATACACACAAAAAACACACAACACACACACAACACACACAAACAACACACACACAACACACACACGCACCCCTCCATTCCTGCTCCTACAGGGGCTCATTAAATCATACCACAGCTACACACTTCACTGTGTCTGACTGCCCCCTCTCGGATGAGGCTGTCAGCACACCTCCCGCTCACAAGGGGAAAGGCAGCTTCCCATCCATGTGAAGGTATCTGTGTGTGTGCGAGTCCTGGAAGCCAGGGAAAGGATCTGCGGGAGAGGGACAGGCAACGGGGATTTGTGGGAAGGGAAGAGATGATAGATAGGTAGATAGGTAGATAGATAGGTAGGTAGACAGGTAGATAGGTAGGTAGACAGGTAGATAGGTAGGTAGACAGGTAGATAGATAGATAGATGATAGGGAAGAAGATGCTCATGTTGAGATATCACAGGAAGCAGGACAGAGGTGTTTCTACTGAAGCAGTAGGGAGTAGTGGCTAAGAAGGAAGACCCAGGGTGGGGTTGGGGGCAGGTCAGACAACTTGGGCTAGAAATCAGCTCTGCCACTTACTAGCTGTGTGACTTTGGGAGGGATACTTCCCTTCTCTGAACCACGGCTCTCAGGTGTTGCTTTGAGGCTTAAATGAATCCTGTGTGAAGTGCTTCCTCCTGCCTGGCTCACTGGGTGAGCTCAGGGAACGGTAGTTAACGCTCTCGAGGGGGGATCGGCTCCACTGCTGCTGCCCCACCTCACCTGCCACACTCACCCACTCCCCGGAATGTAGGGACTTGTCATGGCTCCAATCACAGAATCCGTTGCTAGAGTAGCCTTTAGAGGCTCAGACTCAAACCACTGATCCAGCACCTGGGACAGCAAGACAGCCAGGAGAAGGGCTTACCTCGGGAGCAGAGGCCCCCCTCACTGCAAGGTCCAGCCTGAGGCTGGGGAGCCCCTCACCTTGACAGCTGGAGCTGTGAGGACCTGGTAATACTGGGGCAGCTGGGCTCCCAGGATGCGACCTAAAGGAGGAGATCCATAAAATGTGAACTGAGACAGGCAAGAAGGGAACACTCTGATCCATAATGTCTCTGCACCTGTTTCTTTACCTGTAAAATGGGAGTACAAAATATTCTGCACCCCTAAGAGCTATTGTGAGGATTAAACGAGGTATGTAGAGCATTTCTAAAGCATTTCCATAGGCACTTAATACATTTTACCTGTTAGAATTATTTTGGGGCAATTTTTAATTTGTATCTTATTCCCCCACTTTGAGTTCTGTAAGGCCGTGCCCTGGGAGGCAGCAGCATGGCTAATCCATTCCTCTGATACTGATTCAAACGATCTCCGAGAGTAACTGGGCACTAGGACCTTGAAGGCAGAGGTCATGAGCCCTAGGCATTGCAGCCCCAGTGCCCAGCTTGGTGCCTGGCACATAGCACATGCTCAATAAATATTTACTACATGAATGTTTATTGTATGACTCTCCTTGGACTGGTAATCTGGGAGGCGATGTCTACTTCTGGCATCTGTGGTAGATTCTACTGGCTCTGACCCTTCACCCCTCCCCGTGTCCACACACTTTGCCATGTAGCTCTGCACTGCTTCCCTCCCTAGCTGAGTTGACCGTCCTGCCCCTTGATTCTGGACTCAAATGATTTGCTTGGCCAGTGGAATGTTTACTGATGGGATGCAGTCAGAGGCTTGAAACTGGCCTGCACATTGGGGCTTGCCCTCTGTGCTTCTGTCATTGACATAAGAAGGCCACTCCTGGACTAACCTGTGGCTTCCAAGAAGAGGATTAGAGACACCTGGAGCAGAGCTGCCCCAGCCACAGCCACATGCGTGAGACCAGACCAGATCAGCTCGGCCCAGCTGGGATCAGCTGAACCATGCAGACACTTGAGAAATAGATGTTTATTTTTATATGCCACTGGAATTTTGTAGTCTGTTATGCAGCAATTTTGTGACCACAGCTAACTGTTGCAGTATTTTTCTAGAATATAGACGCTAAACTGATTTTTGTCCCCTAGAGGAGTGGTAGGAAATAATAGCAGGCTTGGTGAATCTTCCATTCTCATACCCACAGCAGACATCACTAATTCATCACAGACTTTTTTCTTGCTGAGCCCAATAATCTAGCATCCTTCTTGTACGGGGGCATCTTTTCAAACTCTCTTGGGCCCCATCTCTTATTCCAGCCATGCCTATGGTGACGAGCTCTGTGCAGGCTCTGGTCAGCTTCACACAGGGCAAACTGACAGCATCCCACCTCAGACCTGAAGATGTGCCTCTTCATTTCTTCCCTGGGACTTCTCTGGCACCACGACAGGACACCTACGGGAACCCACTTGGCACCCATGGGGGCACAACCCAGAAGTTAATGCCTCATGTGGGAGTTAATACCCCAGGGGGCAGCCTCTGACCACTGGAGGACAGAACCCAATGAGCAAATGTGTCCCCTTTCTCCTCCTGGGCATGTCCTCATGTGCATTTCCTAAGGCTTCTCAGAGGGAAGGACCTCACCAGCCACAGTGGTGGCCAGCTCAGTAATGCACCCTGGTATCGACTCTCCCTCTTTCCCGTTTCTCCTCCTTTCCTTGGGATCCCCCTTCAAAATGAACTACTTGCACATAAGCCTTTGGCTCGGGCTCTATTTTGAGCACGCCATCCTAAACCTTTGCCACTTCAAGTGCTCCAGGTGGCCCCTATTAGTCGATGGCAGTTGGCAGGCTGCCTTGGAGGTTCAGGCTCATGTCCAATTGTGGAGAAGATGGGCTCAATCACATGAAGGTGCTCGTCATGCCCAGATGCCTGCCCTTGGACTTACCCGCCTGCAACAGGGGCTTGAGGGTGGAGAGCGACTTGAGCCTCTGCAGCAGGGAGCCCCGCTGGAAGGCCTCCATGTCCACCGGGGCTGCGTCCAGCAGAGGGTCAATGGCTAACGCCAAGCGATTCATGAAGGCCTCATATTTGGGAAAGGCCTGGAACAGAGCTCCGAGTCAAGGTCCCATTGCCTAGAACCCCAAAAAGACGCTGTCCCCATGCTTGGCCCTCCAGCTGCCCCATGTGGCCTGCTGCCCCCCAGCTGAGGCTCAATTCCTCAAGCCTCACGCCCAGTGTGGCTCAGCCTGGCTGTGCTGAGTTACCCCCAGTTCTAGGTCTGTGTGCTGATGTCAACACTAGGTGAGGTCAGAGAGAGCCTGGGTAGTAGGAGGGTCACCATGTAGTGGCAGGGACAAGGGGGTTGATGTAGGCCAAGACCAGTCGTCAGCCACGGAATCCTCAAGTATCCTAGGAAGTGGTCTCTGTGATAAACCAAAAACCACTGAAAAGTTTCTCCTCTCTGTCCTGTCTTTCTACATCTTACTGATAAAAGTAAGATCTCTCTGCCTGTATTCCAGCATGCTGACTGTTCCTTCCTGGGCTGCAAATCTCCCGCATCCTCTTGTCATCAGCAGGGACAGAAGCTTGCATCCCTTCACCCCACAACTTCCCACAACAGAATCCACTTCGACAGCCTGGTTATGACCCCCACACCCCCTTCCCTGGATGGGCGACAGGAGCAAGGATGGGCACCCGTGGTACCCGAGGCCCTATCTTAATTCTCAGCCGAGAGCTTTTAATTTTTGGTTCATCTAGACTCATGGATATACCCATGGAACTTTAACGACTCTTACATAAAGAAAAGCTCTGTGTTGAAGTACACTGGAGAATCTTGATTAAAATGAAGGGAAACGGCTTTCTCTGCAGCAGGTCTTTAATGTGACAACGTGCAAAGACAAAACCAGAATTCAGCTCCTTACTTTCCACAGTGGGATGTGGCCTCTGCCTCCCGCTCCTGTGGTCACCAGCTCACAGGGCCCCGGCCACACACGGCCAAGGCCACTGCTCTCTAGGCCCAGGGAACTGGCCTTCTCCTGAATCCTCTCTAGTGCATCTGAGACGAGCAGGGCTTGGAGCAGAGGGTGTAGGCAGCGGACCCCAACTCACTGCGCAGAAGAATCACTTGGAAAGCACTTTTTTTTGGTTGACTTGATCATCAGCCAGTGTTTGGAAACCACTGGCTGAAGAGAGATGCTGTGCCTGTGGTTTTCTTGGTTTTACCCAATACTAGATTAACACAACAAAAAGCAACACACACGGATTGGTTAACCCAGGTTCTTCTTATAAAAATGTTTCCACCAAGATATGAGCTGATGCTGTGCCTTCAGCTTGTATCTAGGCTTGGTACAAAAAACGGCCATTCAAAGAATCTTTTTATGTCTGTAAAACCAATCACACCGGGCCCGTTACATTCAACGGCTCATCTAGACAAAGCTACCCAGCAAATTCCTCACAGTGCAATCCTAGGAAAAGAAATGTGCCTTCTCCGTCAGATGTGTGTACTCCCCTTCACCAGACCTGCTCGCCATCATGGACACATTCTTGCCTTGGGCTGCCAGGGGACGATGCCAAAGTAAATGAATATTTATTACGATGCTCTCGTCCTAAATTCCTGATCCAGTGTGTTCTATCCTTAACTGTCTCTGATCTCCCCTTCTTCTTTCTGGCCTTCATGTGCTTTAATATTGATGACCACCTGGAATTCTGTCTGAAAGCAGGAGAGCTAGAAAGCACTTAGAGCATAAGGACATATCAGTGGACTCCCTTTTGAAATTCAGGCGGAGGCCGCCTGAACAGTGGCCTCATGCTGAACACACACAGGTTTGAGGGTCTCCAGTGTTCACTGGTCTTAACCAACTGTCCTCCACCCCTTCTCTTTGCAGTGCCCAAGATCAAAGGCTGGCACAGACTGGAGCCTTCCTAGGGCGGATGAAGTGGCCTGTCCACACCCTTGTGGCCTTTGACAACCTGCTGTAGGACAACTCCAACCAAGTGCATTTTTTTTCAAGAGTGGCCACCAGGCTGAGATGGAGGAGATCAGTCTCTGGTCACCTTCCCTACCTGGGCATCCTTCCGTGAGAACTGGGCGATCTGCTTCTGGTTTTCTGCCATGTCTGTGCCCAGCAGAAGGGACCTGGGCACCTTGCCGGCTGTGCCCTCTTCCAGCATAGGTGTGAATGAGTGGGGGTTTCGAAGATGAAGCCTCAGCCCGTGTTTCTGCAGAACACAGACAGCACAGGTAACATTTGAGGGGATCTGCCCATGACCCTTCTCTGATTGTGTTTGTGTGACCACTTAGGTACCTGCATGCAGGTTCCCAAGGCCTGTGGTCCTGGTTCCTAATTTTGATACAAGTGTATAAAAAGCCCTCTTGCCCAGGCACCCTATGGCAGGCCATACCATACCACGCCACGCTACCCAGTGCCAGGGACTGTACTAGGGTTTACAATGGTTACATCACAACAGCTCTGTAAGTATATCATCCTCATTGTACAAATGCCACAGCAGAGGCTCAGAGAAGTGAAATAACTTGTCCAAGGTCACATGGGGAGGTGGATCCTGGTTTCGAAACCACACCCCTGTGACTCCAAAGCCCTGGCTCTCAGTGTTAGTCTTTAAATGCCCCCATCTCAGAAATAATAACTAAAACTGAGAAAGACGCAATAAAGCCACGGTCATGTGAACATCCATATTTACAAGGTGGATAAATCGTTCCCATCAGAAACAACTTATTCACTTTGCAGGCTCATCTACTCCAGGGTCACTTTAAATGGAAGCTCCCTTGATGCACTGAGAATGTGATTTGACTTACAGATATTTCACTAGCACACAGAACTTTCCAAGAGTGCATTTACTTCTTCAAAGAAGGTGGAGATGAAACAAAAAGGGCCTGTGCTGCCTCCACCAATAAGACTTACTGCTCCCGCTGGAGACTTCTTTCTTCTTAAACCACTTTATTGAAGTATAATCGACGTACAAAGAGCTGTACGTATTTAATGTGCAACTTGACGAACTTGGCGTTTAGAGACTTCCTCCCCCAGATACTTGGTCTGCCCCCTCACCTCTCTGAGGTCTTTGCTCAAATGTCACCTGAGTAGCAAGCTCCCCACCCCCATCCCCTGCCCCCGAAATGAGATCTGTGAGCAGAAGTTTTAGGAAAACATGAGGAAACCAAAAGAGATTTTTCCAATAATTACAGCAGAAGTTTCCCCAAACCACGGGTGTTCCAGATGGCAGGGTCTCCACGGTTGAGGGTTCTGTGGAGGTGAGTCTGAGCGTTGGTAGGGGCAGGCTGGGAGACCCGCAGGATCCTTTCTAACACTAAGATGGGGAATGCCTTTGATTCCAAACTGGAGGAACTTCCAGCTTGGTTCCTCCTGATACAGTGAACTCTTTCCCACCCAGGTGGCGTCCCTAGTTCCTCTGTGTCTCTCACCCTTGGCATCACATCCATCACCAAGTCTCACAGCTCAGCCTCCAGACCTGGTCCACGTGTCCCCGCCCTGACTCAGCCTGAGCCACCACCCTGCGGCCACGGCTGCTTCCACCACAATCCGCACCATCCAGCAGGTGGTGTGACCTTTCATAAGGTCATAAATCCCATCACTCCACTTGCCGATTTAACACCTCTGCTGCCCCTGGAGCTCAGGATAAAGCACAGGCCCTCGCGTACAGCGCGCGAGGCCTGTCTCCTCTGGCCCCTGGCCCTCTCTCACACCATCTGCTGCCTCTCGGCCGGGCACTGTCTGCTCCGGCCACATGACCTTCCCTCCCCTTGGGCCTGTCCACCTTCACTTCCCTCTGACTGCAACGCTTTCTGCTCAGATGTTCACAGGGCTGGTGACTTCTTGGCATTTGAATGCTAGCTCAAACGTCACCCCTTCAGGAGGTTTTCCTGGTCACCAGTCCAGGCTGGGCCTCCAGTTCCTGTCACATTACTTTATTTTCCTTTCTTTAGGTGGCACTTACCTCTCCCTGAGGTCCTCTCACTAAGAGCAGAAGCCTTGCCCCCTTCCCTCGCCGCTGTCTCCCCACATGCCTCTCCCAGGGCCTGGCACAGGGCAAGTGCTCAGAAGCATTTGCTGAATGAATGAATCAATAACCTCCCCTCACTGAAAAAGGGACCCAAGAGGATCCCAAGGGTTGTTTCAAGTCTCAATAATTGAACAGGATTAATGTATTTATCTGATTCCAGGACTTTCTCTCATAAAGGGAGCCGTTGTTATTCTTGATGGTTTTGATGATGTGGTGTCAGAATAAGAAGGGGCTGTTAAACCACCGTTATATTATCCCCATTAGATTTGCTCAGATCACGCAGTTTCCCTCTTGTAAAAAACAAAACGCTTCTGATTTACCCATGGGATTTCTCAGCACGTACAGCCGTCCTGGCTGGAAATTGCTGGGAAGGGACAAGCCGTGCATTAGGGAGCAGAGAAATGGGAGAGTTAAGGGGTGTGGTTCTCAGAGTTGTGCTCTGGGGTCCTCCTGCTTCAGAATCATTGGCTCCTGGGCCCACCACAGTCCCACAGGATCACCCTTCGTTCCTCTGAGCAAGAACCACTTCCCCACCAGGTACCCAGATTGTTCTCAGGGACCTGAGAGTTTGAGAGCCCTGCCTTAGAGAGATTTCCGAGGAAAGCAGGAGCAAAGGGATGGGGTTGGGAGCCAGAAGGTGAGTGCAGGTGGGAGGGAGGACAAGGGGGTGCCACTTGAATGAGGTCAAGGCTGGTCCAGGGAGAGCTGGGGAAGGCAGCTGCTGGCTGATACAGGATGAAAGACACCACCTCCCCTCTGCCACACACACCCAGGGCAAAAGCTCTGCCCTCCTTGTCTGGATCCCACGACTCACTGTGGGGCCACTGTAAAAGCAAGCTTACTATCCAGGTGGATAGAACTGCGAGATGATCTCATCGACAGCTGGGGAAACTGAGACTTGGAAAACAGGCCCAGTGAGGCCTCAAGCAGGTTGGCGGAGTCATCCTCTGGCTCAAGTAGAGCTCAGTCTAATCGGGTACAGGCCCACAGTGGGAAGGTCTGAGAGGAAGTAGCAGGCCACAGGTCCTTCTGGAGCCTCAGTTTTCTCAACTGACGAATGGGCATAATATTGGGTTGGCCAAAAAGTCCGCTCGGATTTTTCTGTAACATGGAAAAATCGAATGAACTTTTTGGCCAACCCAGTAATACTAGCTGACAGTTGTCGAGCACTGACCATGCCCCAGGCACTGTACTAATGATTAGCAAACACCAACCACTACGATAGCCTTATGAGGCAAGTACTATTACATCTCCATCTTACAGATGAGGAAGATGAGGCACCACCAGCCCAAGTCATACAGCTGGTAACAGCAGAGCAGGGATTCAAAACTGACCAGTTAGGTTCCAAAGTCTGCAATCTCAGTCCCGTGCTCTACCGAGGCCGGAGCTGCTGGAAGAGCTTATGTCTGTGACCTGGCCCACTGTCATCGGCAAAGTGCCTGGAGGTGCACGAGGCTGAGCTGGGTGGCTATCAAGGTGCCCATGGCGGCGGCACCGCACAGAACGAGGAGGAGTCAGTCAGACCTGGCTCAAGTTCTTGGTCACTTCCTAGTGTGCGAACTTAACCCCCCTGAATCTCGGTTCCCTCATCATAAAATGGGGACACTACATGCTCTCGTCTCACAGACGAGGACAAATTGACAGAGCATGAAAGCTCGTAGCCCACGATGTGACACTGGTAAAATAAATGCTCTTTATTATTGTTTTGGAAACAGAATATTCCTAGAAAGAGGAGCAGTTGCCCTCCTATAGGTATCTTCTGAGTTGTCAACGTCCTGTTAAAATAAGGTACCGCGCACTCCGGATGGGATTAGTTCCGTGCATCACGCAGCAGGACTGCTTCCCACCTTGATCTGAGCACCATTCTCCTATTAATGCAGCCCAAGATCAGAGATCAAAGGATATACTCAATTCACTTGGGAGCTGCTAGTTAAAGGAACCCTATGAGAATACCACTTTCAAATGAGTAACTTTTTTTAAAAAATAAAGAGAACGGACTTCCCTGCTGGCGCGGTGGTTAAGAATCTGCCTGCCAATGCAGGCGACATGGGTTTGAGCCCTGGTCCGGGAAGATCCCACATGCCGCAGGGCAACTAAGCCCATGTGCCACAACTATTGAGCCTGTGCTCTAGAGCCCGCGAGCCACAACTACTGAAGCCTGCGTGCCTAGAGCCCGTGCTCCGCAACAAGAGAAGCCACTGCAGTGAGAAGCCTGCGCACCGCAACCAAGAGTAGCCCCCGCTCGCCTCAACCAGAGAAAGCCCGCGCGCAGCAACGAAAACCCAATGCAGCCAAAAAAATAAATTAAAAGAAATCCCAGGAAATTATTTTAAAAAGAAAAAATAAATAAAGAGAATAATTATGTGAAAATTTCTGTTCTGTGATCCTCAGCTTTCATAAGTTAGATTTTTAAAAGGAGGGTCTACCCCCACCCCTCCCCTCACACTTGCCACTCTGCATAATTGGTGTGTCAGAAAATTGCCTTCACCTAGAGTCTGGTTTGGACTGAAGTCCACAGACCCATTCCCAGGCCTTGGCAGGGTTTCATCCAGTCCTGGCTGGTGACAGGTGTGTGCTCTCTCTCTGTGTCTCTCTTAGGGGTACAAAGAATAATTTATTTAATGGGTGTCAGCGGATTAATGTCTTATTAATTTAAGATTTAGGGCAAAGCTGGTGCTGAAGTGCCGTCAGCGTCGTATACAGACGGCGCAGGGGACCTCTCTCCAAGGGATGGGCGACAGAGGCGCCAAGCAGGTAAGCTAACTAGGCTCCTGGAATGCATGACCAAGTTTGTCAAAGAGGCAGTGAGGGGGTGAAGGAATCTGAAGGGGCGGGGGACAAGACTGTGGACCAAGGTGAGGCTACGAGGAGTCGACAGAGGCAGACTGTGAGTTCTCAGGATGCCCTCAAAATGGCCCAGGAGCCCAGAGAGGTGAAAGTCCCCGAGTCCAACTTCCTGCTCAAGCTGCCGAGGACGGTGACAGGCTCTCATGTGTAATGAGGGCAGAAATCAGCTCAGGTCCTAAGGCAGCTTTGCAAACTCAGATGCCCAAGGGTCCTAGCAGGTTTCCTATGGGGGCTGGACAGACCCCAGGAAGTGATGTGACAAAGCAGAGCTGGGACCGAATCCACGTAAAGGGCCAGCCGGTACAGCACGGAGGAACATGGGCCTGATGTTGACAAAGCCTGTTCTTCGAGAGGTTTGATTGTGTATGAAATTTCCTGATCTTTAAGACACTGGGTGGGCCAGACAAAGCCCATTTGTGGGCAGGCACTACGGAGACCATGGGAGATAGACACACCCTCGGAGGGAAGAATAGCAACTGCCCACTTCCCCAGCCCCCAAGCCATGGAGCAGGTGGACACACACACACACACACACACACACACACACACACACACACACGCTCTACCTTCAGCTCCAGGTCGGTGTAAATCTGCGGTCGGAGCAGGCTGAGGAGGTAGGATGCTCGGGAGAACTTAAACCCTGAAAATGAATCGGATGAAGACAGTAACCAGGGGTCACCAGTAGTCACCCCCCATGCCCCTCACCCACCTCTTTGGCTCACCTGGGATTATTTCCTCTGTGACAGCTGCACCCCCGATCACGTGGCGTCTCTCGAAGACTGCCGTGTTCACCCCCAGTCTCTGCAGGTATGCCGCCTGGGGCGGGGCACAAAGGGCCCTCCCTTTACCCCTGGGGGCTGACCCGCACCCTCAGGGTCCTCACCACAGGGCTGGCTCAAGCTGTCCCTGCCTCTGAGATGCCCTTCCCCCTGCCACCCGTAAATGTTCACCCCGCCCCGAGATGTTCTCTAAGACCTGACATGATTGGTCCTGCCCCTCCACTTCCCAGCCCGAGGTGACCTTCCCTCCTGCAGGGTCCAGTGCCTCTGTGAACTCTTCATCTCCTGGGGAGGTGGGGTGGCAAGCCTCGCTCTCCTCACTGGCCGCAGGCAGGCAGCACGGTGAGCTTGCCTTGTGAGTGCTGAGCCAGACCGCCCAGGTTCCACTCCTCTTTCTCTTTTCTGCTGGGGCGGCCTCAGTACTTAATCCTCAGTACTTAAGTACTTTCTGCTGGGGCGGCCTCAGTTTCCTCATGTGCAAAAATGGGGCTGATGATAATAACACCCACTTTGACTGCTTCACGGGGTCACTGTGAGAATTCTCTGAGCTGGTCCCTAGAAGGGGCTTACACAGGGTCCCTGTCACATGGGACGTGTTCAATCAATGAAGCCATGATTATAGCACAGCCTTATTTTGGGGAACAAATGATGCGGGGGGGGGGGATTAACTTTTCTCTAGCACTTAGTGGAAAATCAATAAATATTTGTTGAACCGAATTAGTCCTGAGTCTACAGACCTAAAATGCTGGTCCTCACACCACTGCAGCTACCACCCCCAAGGTGACAACAGGGATGGTGTAGCTCTGAAGGCAGACTTTTTAAAAAGTTCGCTTGGCTACTACAATGTGCCAGACACCGTGCGAGCATCATCTCGTATAATCCACCCTAGAGGTAGGCACCGTGATTCTCCCCATTTCACGGAGAAGGAAACCGAGGCTCAGTGAGGCTAATAGCTCAGGATCACAGAACAGATGAGTAGAGGTGTCAGGAACTGAACCCGGGCGGTCTGGACCCAGAATCTACACTCCTGACACATCCTAACGAGAAAGGAGAAAAGAGCAGCCCAACATGACATTCAGAAGGTGGCCTGGCCCTCAGAGGTAAGCCCTGTTTCTCCCACTAGACGTGAACAATCTCATAACGATGACCGCAGACAGGGATAATCTAGACCACGACAAAATGGGACAGAGCAAGCCCACTTCACAATTGTGTCTAAGCACAAACGAGACAGGGTCTACTGGGCTACCACAATACCATCTCTCTCGGCCAAGACGAGTGATGCTACGTGTGCACAATGACCGCTCTCCTCACCCTAGTCTCCCCTCCCTGCACACGGTTACTGAGATGCCCGCTCACAGGGCTGCCCCCACTCTGACAGTGTCCAGTCTAGAGCCGACCCCTACTTCCTTAGGCTCTCCCCAAATCAGTCAACCGAAGTGCGTGTCCTAGAGTTAAGTTCCTCCTATACCTCTTATCCTGGGACGCCCCATGCTGTCCCCATGCTCACCATTTGTGTAAGGCTTTATGAGCTGGGTCCTTGGGGCACATCATCTATTCCCTTCACCTCAATTCGGTGAGGGTGGGCATTTTAATTCTCATTTTACCATGGCTCAGAGAGACAAACTGACTCGCCTTAACCTTTGCAAATGGAAAGTGGCAGAGCTGGGGACAAACCCACGTTGGTATTAATACAAAATCAATGTTTTAAATTACTGATCGGTTGAGTTAAATAATGTCCCCTGTGAAATGTTCAAGTAAAACTTCTGTGTCAGGAAAAGTCTTAAGATTGAACACAGGTCTCCTGGCTCTCCATGTTGCTGAGCCGCTGCATTGATATTCTAGAGCATGTTAGGCTTGTGGCCTGAAGCCCAGTAGCACACACTGTGGTCTCCTAGGGGTACATGGACTCTGGTCTGAGAAGCACAGCCTTAGGGTAACCCTGGCCTGCCTCAGCTTGGGACCCAGAAGCCACCTGTGCTGGGGCAGGACCCCGCTTCCTCTGCTAGGTCGGCTTCCTCGCTGTCTCCAGGGTGCACTTTGGACTGTGTATAGCTGCTGTGTTCCCCGGGTTGGTACCTGGCCTAAACCTAGCTGGGGAACATGGGGTCTGTACACAAGGACAGCCCACTATCTGGAGTCAAAGGCCCCCCAGCCCCAGTTACCTGACCCTGCAAGCTCCAACCTGCCTCCCAGGCTATGCCCATTACACACTTTCCCAGCTATTTATCACCTTGCTTTTGAAAGGTCATGGGGGAAACCTATGAGCATTAAGGAGAGGAGAACAAGGGAGCCCCTGATATCCTCCTTAGCAACTGCAGATGTCCATTCGAGCCAGCCGCTGGTCAGCACCAGGGCGCGAGGACTAGCCGGCCTTTCCTTCTCCCCCTCGGCATTCATCCTCTGGCTTCCTTACACTCCTGCTGAGGGCCACACACCCAGGGACCAATGAAGAGGGGCAGAGTGGGAGGGACTCACAGCCACCAGCCCGTTGTGTCCTGCAACGAGAAGGAGGAGGGGGGAGGAAAGCGACAGTGGTCAGTGGGCAGACAGACACATTCCTTGAGGAGTGTGGCCACCCACCCCTGTCCCCATGCCCATGAAGATCCTGGAGAGGTAGCAGAACTTGGGGGACCCCCTCACCTGTACCTCGATGTTGGAACAGCATCTAGCTCAATGCTGTAAGACACCAGTCTTTGGGGAGTCAGAAAACCCCGGTTCTTGCCCTGAACTGAAAAAAGTCCTGTCACCCTGGCTTGGCCAGTGGCTCATGCTGGAGTGGGGACAAGGAGAAATCCACAGTCATTAGTTGAAAATTATCCCACGAAGCCTCGCATTGCTGGGCTTCTGGCACTTAGGGACGAGTGGGTGACTGTCAGAGGGAGTGTGATAGTTGACTTAGCAGGGAAGAGAGGGAGGCGAGGCTGTACGATGATGCCAGACGTCCCTGCCTGGCATGGAATCACCAGCCGTCCGGGTGAGCGCTGGTCCTGTGGACAGTTGCTGCCAGGCATGGCTTGTTGTGCCCAAGCGTGGCTCACAACAGTGCCCCAGAAGGGGCGTCTTTGTCAATTCCCAGTGTTCCCCAAATAAAACAGGAACAGCTCAAAATGAATGAAACACACACGGCTTTGACGTGCGCTAGAGTAGCTCAGCGTGCTTCAGGGGTGCCAGCTGACTGGGCAGATTGGTCTACTATAGAGTTTCTTTCCAAAAATTTTAGGCAGGCTGCCCCTGGGATAGGAGCCCTGAAAGTTGGCTTGGGATCCGATGTTCCACACCAAGCCCAAGTGCAAGTGCCTCCAAGCTAGCAAGTGCCGCTCCAGCCCTGAGAAGCTCCAGGATCACGTGAGAACTCGAGTAAACACCGATTCCCCAACCCCTCCCCAGAATCTACTCAGCAGGTTGGGGCCGTGGACCAGGATGTACTTCACAGAAGCTCCCTGGTCATTCTGATGCAGGTGGTGTCAGACCCACAGGCCGAGCACATGGGGCCCTGGGGTTGGGGCCTCCCCTTTCCTTAGTCTCAGAATAAAATGCAGCAGCTGGAGAAGTCCTCGATGGGTGGAGAACAGGCCCTGGTTGCTTTCAGGGAGGGGGGCCAGGCCTCCCCTGGGACACACGGCACATGCTTCTCTTTGGTGGTGGGAAGTCACTCTGAGTCTTCAAAGATGCCAGAAGGTAACTGTGTTCTCTGAGCGCCAACCTGAACCCAGCGTTGACTCTAATAAAAGGCTCGGCCATTAAACTGACAAACATCCACAAACAGGAGGCAGCAATGACCCACATGATGGATTTCTCACGGCTGAGTTGGTTTTGTTTTACATTTTCCACATAGAGACCTGCCAGAATTTTCTAGGTCATTGAGCCAATTTATCATCCATTAAAGGAATCTCTGAAACGGAGTTTTTTAAACTCTTTGGCCGTGATCTGAGGAAGAAACGCATTTTACTCTGTGACCTGACACCCCCACACACACATAAATGTATTTCACAGAAACGAAAGTTTCAGGAACTAATATTAAATCATCATGTGATAAGCATGTGATGATCTACTTGATTATATTTCATTTAAAAATGCTGATTGATATAGTACTATTTTTAATATGTTTTTGATAATTTTCTTAAGAAAGTTTCAAAAATATGATGGAAGGGAATCATGAATGGATGGATTGCAAGCTGAAATTTGGAAAGCCCTGCTCTCAAATACATATGACAAATTAAAGGCAGACTGTCCTGGGCTCATCCTGGCTTCTGCTGTCTTCCTCACGCGTAAAAACAGAGGGCCTGCCGGACCTGCAGTGTTGAAGGGAGGATAACCGGTAATGCACGTAAAGCACCTGTCCCTTAGCAGACAATAAAAGGTAGCTGCCTTTTAATCAGTGCTGATTATAAATCTTGGAAAACTAATAAAAGCTTCCAGGCAGCAAGGTCCAGTTCAGTCAACACATGTAAGCCCACAAATGCACAAACAGACCTCAAAGGACAAAGGTCGAGGATCCAACAGCCCAAGCTCCTCTGTCCTCCCCCACTCCCCTACCCCCAGTCCTGGCTGAGCCTTCCTGCAGCTTCTGGTGACCTCTCCTTTCCCCTTGAAGGAGTCTTAAGCTGTGGGCTCGGGCTCAGCTCATCTCCAGGCCAGACTGCAGGGTTCCTTATGCAGCAGGCACGGGGGAGCTCTGGAGAGAAGCTGCCCTGAACGTGGGTTCTTGAATGTGTGGGCTGCAGATGCCCCCATGAGATCCAATTCCAAGTGTTGGTTAGATGTGCTGACTTCCTCAGAATCCTAATCACCAGGTAGGGGGCCCAGGAACTGCATTTTAACTAGTTCCTTGGGTCATTCTTAGGCAAAGTTAGTCAAATGACTAAATCAGGGTCCTCTTTTAAGGTGACTCCCAGTGTGGCTTCAGGGAGCAGAGATAATCTTTATCTTAGAAGATGCCACTGTGTTCCTCACTCAGGCTGGAAATGCCTTCAAACCAGCAATTAGAGAAGCAACGTCAAAGAAAAACTCAGGCCTGAGACTCACACACTTGTGGCAATTCACCCAGGTGTCTATCTGGGGACCTACGATCAACCTCTCTGCCAAGAGGCAGCAGGGCTGGGCTGTCACCAAGGGCAAGAAAGGTGGGAGGCACTTCCACTTCCTGAGCCCAGTCAGTGGGGGCTGGGGCAGGAGTCCCCCAGCTCCGGAAGTCGGTGAGATAGTTGTCAAACGCAGCCCCTGGTAAAAAATTAAATTACATCAACTTACAATGAAATAATTATATTAAAAACCAAGGTAATAAATATTCAAAGCTTGTCACTTCCTGTTTTACTTTGCTTTAACGGTTGGCTCTGCTTTCACGGTTATTTACCTCTAGAGACCCACAGAGGGGCCGCGCTACATGATGATCCTTGGCTACATCTCTCTCCCAAGTCCACCTTTGGTGACATCACATTGGTAACTTTGAAAAAGGCCACAGTAGGAGTATTCACACTATGGAAATCTGCAAACATTACACACCAGGGCTTGAGTTATTGTTTTTGGTTGTTAGACTTAAGAAAGTGATGGAGAACCTGCTAATAAAGTAGATTAAACTTGTGTCTGTAGCTGTTACACTGTGAAATGTGCAAAAAATTGAGGAGCTGTTCTTCCAGTGTTCGAAAAACATTATCTGATTGAGCAAAGTCATTCCTGTCGTTGAGGAAGGCGTGAAGTTCAGACATAAATCTTTGTTTCACTTTCTTTCTGCTGTTTAAATAAAAATATCAAACTACATTCTTTTCAGAACTATTTTCATTTGTCAAATTGCAACCACAGGTTGGTTACTGAGTTTGGCAGAAGTCACAGGTACTTGGTAAGAACAGATTGGCTACCTGGAATTTACAGTATTGTGTGTATATATATATATATATATTTTTTTTTTTTCGGTACGCGGGCCTCTCACTGCTGTGGCCTCTCCTGTTGCGGAGCACAGGCTCCGGATGCGCAGGCTCAGCGGCCATGGCGCATGGGCCCAGCCGCTCCGCGGCATGTGGGATCTTCCCGGACCGGGGCACGAACCCGTGTCCCCTGCATCGGCAGGCAGACTCTCAACCACTGCACCACCAGAGAAGCCCAGTATTTTTTTTTTTATCTGCAAAACTGTGTGCTACACTTCTTTTACTTCCGTATTTATAATAAACTTACGTATGGATATACATGCGCACATTTTCCCTGGAGAGGTGACTAGTAAACATTGGCCAGCACACGACTGCTCTTTGTAGGGGTAAAAATGAAGAAATGCCCAAACAGGGACACAGCTTTAAAGCTGTGTGATGAGCATGTCCTTCCAGGCCTGTCTTGGTCGCTCTGTATAGACCTGGTTGGAAATAATGTCAGAAGCTGAAATTGGGGCTCTGTGTGAGTGTGAGTGGAAGGCCCGGAGGAAAGGCAGCCTGGTCCTGGCCCGCAGCCTCACACACTCGCAGTGGAATCAGGTGCCCTGCAGCCTGGGGCTCAGCAAAGCATAGCAGGGTCACTGCAGCAGGTCTCCCACGTGCCCAGGCAGGCAAGGCAACAGGGGCTGTCACCCTCTGTGCGTAGGCAGGAGAATCTCTGGGACTCATTTCTACTTTTTCCTAACTCCCCTTTATGGAGCAACTGCAGTGTCCTTGGGGGTGGGGTGTCTCAGTGGTCAGGGGGTGGTGACCAGAACTCAGGGCACTTGGGGTGGCTGGATTTCACACTTCTTGTCCCAGGGCTCTTTCCTTCCAAACCTTACGTACCATATGCTTTCCAAGAGTATGGTGGCAACTAGCTAATTTCACAGGAGATACGTGGAAACCCCTGAATTCACCTAGTCCTCCCTGGTCATTCTAGATGGGAAGACTCAAGCCCAGAGAGGGCAAGAATCTGCCCCAGGCCACACAGTGAGTCAACAGCAAAGCCAACCCCAGAACCCCGGCATCTGCTTGCAGACAGGTGGGCTTTCCACACCAGCACCTGCTCTCATCCCAACTCCTGGCCAGCTCGTGCCAGAGTAGAGGGACGCGAGGGCCTTCTGAGCAGGGCTGCCCTTCAGCCCCTCAGCTCTGGCCCAGCCCACTTTACCTGCTCCTATTACCACTGCATCGTACTCCGGCTTCAGACGTCCCCTGGCGTCGGAGTGAGCTCGTCTTAAAGCGGGGTGGGGAGAGGCAGCCACGGCCCTGCGGAGCCCTCGGCCACATGCAGCCATTTCTGCCCAGGCTAGGCCAAGAATTTGCTTGCAAGCAGCTTTTCGTGCCTCTCCAGGCAGGGGGAGGAGCAGGGAGAAAGCAGGAAGAGAGAAGGAGCTGCAGCCCAGCTGCCGTACTTGGCCCTGGGTCACGACTAAACAGGGGAGGCTGAGCTGCCCACAGCCCAGCCTGACCCCGTCCACACCCGGCCGAGTCGCGGGAGGTCGCCTGTTAGCCAGGCAGAAGTCCTGCACCTCCAGGCCCCCAGAGAGTAACCACCGTGCTGCTAATTCTCTAGGGCTCCTGTGTGCCAGGCCCTGTGCTGACCACGGTCGTGCAGCCCCTCGTGTAAGCCCCAGAGGAGGGGCACTGAGGCTCGGAGAATGTGCGTGTGTGTGTGAGCGTGCTAATGAGTGTTCCAAAGGTCCGTCTCCTCCCCTGTGCTGTCCTGCTTCTGGTTAAGGAATTAAAGGTCCCGGATGAGTTGGGGGTGGGAATCCAAGTAAAGAGAGGGACTTGGGTCAGACTCTGCTCCAGCTTCCCGTCCCTCCGGCTTGTAGGGGGGTAACTGCTCTATGCCCACAGCAGGCTCAGGGACCCGCTGCCTGAAGGCCTCTGGGGCAGGCCCTCCGCACTGCCGACACCAGGGCCTCAGCAACACTGCGGCGGGGGGGTGGGGGTGGGGGTGGGCACCTGCCCCTGGGGCCCCCAGAGAGCCACACGTCCTTGCTTAAACGCCATCCAAATGCTTAAACGCCATCCACTTCTCAGGCTGCCGCACAGCTGGAAAGGTCTGGGGGCCAGTTCAGTCCTCGTGATTTTGGGGGTTTGCCTTTTTCTTTTGAAGGCCTGAACATTTCTCTTCTGTGTTTTGGAACGTTTCCCATTTTCCAAGAATCCTCAAGGATTAAAGACCGCATCGTAAATATCTTTGGCTTAATGCTTACTATCCTCTGGCCTGTCCTGAATTAGGAGCCTCTTTCGCTCCCTGCCCATTGGTTAGGACATTCCCCGTATAGGAAAAAGCACCCTAGGGGCTGGGAGTTTCTGTACTGCTCTGACATCTAGAAACCTGTTATTAGAAGTGCATCTCAAAATTAGAAGAGTATGTGGAAAGTCGCTTCTGGGTAAGAGGGACTTCTGGGGACACTTCTACCCTCGAATCAGACACCCCTCCACATGCCACGTAAAGTTTACACCACGTGTGTCTCTGCTAAAATCCGAGTCAGCATCTTCCCTCCAGTGTTATTTATAATATTGAAAAACTAGGGGGACTGGTTAAACTAGACGTGTCACAGCATGCAGCTGCTGAAAGTGAAGGGAAAATACTAGGTGACAGGAGTGAGGATCCTAAACAGCAGTGGGCTTCTACACTTAGTCTTCCCCTTCTGCTCCTCTGTACTTTCCCGATCATGTCATAATTCCTGTCCATAAAGTCACGATATTAAGGAGAAAGGCAGTCCCAGTCACCTCGGGACTCTGTCCCTCACTGCCACCTTCTGAGGACTTCAGCCCGCGGTGTTGGTCTAGCTCCTTCAGTATCTCTGTCTCAGTAAGCTGTTCACTTAACAGGAAAGATCAGTGTGCTCTTATGAATTTTAGCTCAAGACTGAAGGCACGGAAGGCCTGGCCGCTGTCTGGTGTCACACGCAAACCCACCGCCTCGCTGCGCTGTGTACTTCTGCCTCCTCACTTCCCTCTGTCCCAGCTGTGGCCTCTCGGCCCCAGAGCAGTGGATGCTCCCAAGTCCCAGGGCTCTGACGGCCTCTTGTCCTTGTGTCCGTTTGGGGGGGACTTTCAGGTTAGAGGAAGGGCTGTCCCCCTGGGGCAGTGCTCTCAACCCAGGGCACACCAGGACCCCTAGAGAAGCTTTGGAAAACCTTAAAGCCTGGGATCCATTGGACCGAGTGACACGAATCTCTGCGGCGAGGCTGGGGCAAGAGGCAAGAACCAAGAAGGGCACAAAGAGGCCACCGAGAAGGGCCAGGGGCTTGAACAGTAACAATAACCATAACCAGCATTTATTGAGTGGCTGCCACAGCCGGCAGCCCCATGACCATCCTGAGAGACGGGTGCCGTCACTCTGAATGTGGGGAGACAGGCTGAGAGGTGGGGAAACTTGCCCAGAGCCGCAGAGGGGGCGTGGCAGAGCTGTAGTTCAACCCAGCCAGGAGAGCTCCTTTCACCTGGGGAGGGAAACAGCTTCCTGGGAAGCTTTCTCTATTCTGAGAACAGCAGACACCCACAGGCTGTGGGGACTTCCTTTGTCTCCTAGGGGTAAACGGAGAGGCAGATCCGAAAGAGGGGCTGTCCTGGGTCTAACCTCACAGCCACTGCTGTTCTCAAGATGCCGGGGACCAGCCCCAGCTGAACAGGATTCACCCAAAGGAGAAGACGGAGTCGGCGTGGACAGAACTCAGTACACCTCTTCTTGGATGCAAGGATCTGACAAATTTATTTTTACAATTTCGAAGCTTTTATACTGTGAGGCAATCTTATTTTCAATCTTAACAATCCAGTTCCCATGCCAAAAAATCCCTTACAAGAGCCATAAAACAAAAGTAATTTACATAAGCAGATTACATCAGCAGGTTAAACAGGTTAAGTAATCTTCTTATCGCTTGTAGTTTCTTTCATCCCCTGTGGTCAGGTACATCTTGGTCACGCCTAAGTCAGGAACTCTGTCTGCAGTTTCATCATTGTTCTTAGAAGAATTAGATGTTTTTGTACCTGTTTGTTCTGTTTAATCAGCCAGATCTTCAAAACATAAACTCAAGCACATTATTCTTTAGCACCAGTAAATATTTACAGGCTGTTTCAATCTATCTCTATAATCAAAGCAAGACACAGAATAATCAATAACCCTAGGGGGTCTTGGGGGAGGGCATTGTACCTTAAATTTGCCACCAAGTTCCTTTGCAAAATACTTATAAAATATAATTTGTGCTTTATATCTATTCTTATTTGGAGAGCACTGAAACTTATGTAAAGCTGTCAAAAAGCCTACTCTATCTAGTTCCATATAAACCCACTTCAGCATAAAACCTTCCCGCCACCATATCCAAGTGTTTTTTAACATATCTTTAACTCCCCAGGGGGGCCATAACTCATCCAATTTACCTTGTAAAGTAAGCTCTTGCCATACAAATGCTCCTGTTGTGTTTCCCTGTACCCAATGCCCTGGCCTGGGAGTGGGGATTTCAGGTGTAGTCATTGGGGAAGCCGGGGTAATTACAATCTTTTTTTTTGGTTTTACCCTAAGTCGGGGTCTTTCCCTAAACCCTCCATTGGAACTGGGAATGTTTCCCAACACTAATAACAATCCTATAAAAATCACCTTAGGCAAAGGCAGGGGAAGACAAGGGGAGCCACACAGAGGAAAGCTTTGCTTCCACACAGAGAAAAGCTGTGGTTCACGGAGGAAATGGGAAACAAAGCCCTGTTGCGGTGGAAGAGCAGTTGCCATTGGCCAGGTCTCTGGTCTGCTACCTGGGTTCCCATCTGAGCTGGGCGTGGGAAGCGAAGCAGCCATGGGGACAAGAGACCTCTCTCAAAAGGGGTGAGGGTTCAGGCTCCTGCAAAGTTGGGGGGGGTGAGGGTCTATGCCCCACCTCTGTTGGCCCCCAAGTTCTCTCCTGATGGCCCCTCTGCGACTGTGCCTGTCTTAGGTTGTTCCTTCCCTGAGGAATCTTACCCGTCTCTGGCTAACCAGCCATCCTCCGGGGCCAAGCAGGGAGATGTGAGGTGTGCGAGTGAGCGAGGTGCAGCGCCCCCAGAGAAGGTCAGTTCTCTGTCACCTTGGTAGCCTATGCCCCCGTGGCCTCCACGCCCAGCACCTGCCCTGGGATTCCTTCGCCAACTGGCGGGGCCCCGGCTCTGATCACATGTCTTCGGGAACCCAGGTTTCTCCTCCAGAGAGGGCCCAGCTTACAGCACTGGGCAAGAGAGACCAATTACACGGCACCAGCCACCAGGAGGCAGGAAGCTTTGCAAACGAGAACTTTGCTTTTCCATATTTACACCTGACAGCACCAGCTTTGCTTGGCACTATGGGTCTCGTCCATGCTGAGACTCAAAGGCACTTCCTATGTGGCTCCCGGCATCAAGAGACCAAAGAAACCCTCTGGCCCTCCTCTCCCTTCAGAGGGAAGGACTTGGGGGTTTGCTCATCACCCGGAGTGGAGACTGGTCTAAGTGGAGCTTCTTTAAGAAACTCTGGGGCCGCCCTGGGGACTGTGCTACCCTCAGGAGGCTGCCGTGCACAGGAGGAGGCTCTCACTATGGGGATGTCTGCAAGCCAGGTGGGCCTGGAGAATGGGTGCACGGGCAGATGCACGGGGGCAGCCCACCCTGGCCTAGAGCAGGGGGACACGGGAGGCCTCGCCCAGGCGCCGGGCCAGCTCGCCGGCCTGCTGCACCAGCACGTCCGTGGGGATGACCGACAGGTGGAGGGTCAGCAGCTCCCGGCACCTGACAGCCTCCGCCGGGTGGCCCTTGCTGTAGTAGCGCAGGAGCTTCCTGGGGGAGGGAGGGGGAAGGAGGACAGGATTGAGGAGGGAGCCAGGCCAAGGGGCCTTCCTGGCACTGCACAGGTACAAAGTCACCTCACCAGGCCCCGGCACTGGGCCAGAGGCCTTCCCTGCCCCTCGCTGACCCAACCTTACAAGGTTCAGCCCCAGGCTGCCACGGCCCAACCCTCTGGGCTCCTGATCCTGGAATGGGGTCCACTAGATGGCAGGGCCCCATCTATGGGGCACACAGAGCCATCAGAGAAGGTCTTCAGGAGCCCAGCAGGGACGCCGGCAAATGCTGCCTCGATGTGCCAGCAGGAAGAAGGGCAAGAACCCCAGCAAGCGCCCCACTCTCTTCCTCTCACTGAATGCCTGGCTGTGAGGAGCTTCTAACAAGGGGAGACAGGCTCAGGGGGACATGCCTGAAGGACGGGCTGCACGCTCTGTGGGGACTGGCACTGACCGCCCATCGTCTGTTCCCCTCTGTGCCCAGGGCCCTCTGGATCAGCATCACCTGTAGTAGTCTCCTCCCAGCATGCCGACAGGAGCCGAGTCATCGGACAGGACAGGCACCTCGATGATCTGGAGTTTGTACCCCTGGGGAAGGAAGCAGGGCGTCTTGAGTGGGGAGGCGGTGGGTGTGGGGGGAAGAGCACGGGCTTGAGCCAGACACTCGGTCTGAGGCTGGGCTCAGCCCTGCTTGGCGTGTGCCTGGTGCTGGGAAAATGCACTGGCCTCTTTTTACCTTGTCTTCTCACCTGTGAAGCAGGAATAAGAATAAACTCCCAAAGAACATTAGACATGGATGTAAAGTTCCGAGTGTCGTGCCCGGCACCTGGTAGCTCTCATTCCCATCAACCAGTGGACCTGGGTCACGACAGGCACACGTGAGGGAGGACGACCCGGGGACGTGTCACGAAGAACAAAGCGTTACCAAAGGCCAAGTCTCTCTCTGAAAGCAACAGGTATTCCCAGGGCAGGACATGGCGGGGAAGGGACTCAAGCTCTGTTGGGCTCCCACTGTGTGCCAGGCGCCCTCACGGGGCTCCTGCGGCGCTGTGCTCACCGGGGAGGACTTGGTGGCGGCCCAGTTGCAGCCAGACTTCACACCTGGGTCTCCCCGCACCACAGCCTACTGCCCTGTGGGGCTAACCACACACACGCACGCACGCACGCACGCACGCACACACACACACACACACACACACACACACAGCCCTGTCCCTCCCTAGAAGCTAAGGTGATGGTCACACCCACATCCTGGGCGCTTCTGAGGCGGGCACAGAGCAAAGATGGGAGCCTGCAGGTCAGGAGAGCCGAGCCTGGGTTCTGACATCATCACCTAGGACCTCGGTGGCCCTGGCCATGGTGTCTGATCTCAGGGCGTCAGCGTCTCCATCTGCAAAATGGGGTCAGTGACACCTGCTCTGACCATCACACGGGCTGTGCGGATGTGAGGCCGTGAGAACAGAGTGACAGACCCCGACGGCTGCACTGCGCCATGCAGGAAGTGGGGAAGGAGGGCTCGCTGACAGGGGCAGAGAGAGGGCAGGGCACGAGCAGGGGAGAGGACAGGACGAGGGGCCAAGGGAATGTGGGGGGGAGAAGCAATGGCCCTCAGAGAGCTGGAATGATGGCCAAGGGTGACAAGTGAGGAGGAAACAAGAAGAGAAAAAGGAAACGAAAGCAGAGGAAAGAGGGGAGACACAGAGCGAGACAGTGAGGGAGAGCTACAGCGCGAGGGGGTGGGAGGACACAGATAATAAACTCCCGTGACCTGTGCTCATACTGCAGCAACGGTGAGGTTTGGCCAACATGGCCGACGCAAGAGATCTGAGCCTTCCTGCTAGCCTTGCCCTGGGCAGGTTGGTTAACTGCTCTGAGCTTCGGTTTATCAGTCTCTACAATGGGAACAGGGAGCCGGGCTCTGTGAGTGCAGCTGACGACACTGAAGCACCACCGAGGAAGCGCGGGCTGGGCGGCCTTGCTCACGCGGGCGCACATCTGTTCACATGTCACCGGATGCTGCCTTGATCAATGGCATGAGATTTTCAGAGAATGGGGTGGAGGGGCCTGAGCGCAAACGGGACCTGAGTTCTGGGTGCCAACCAGCTGGGCTTAGCTGTCAGCTCCACCAGGGACAAGAA